GTATTATCTTACTGAATTTTATTTCTGTTTTAATTATCGGATAGTTCATCTGCTAACTATCACATCCGCAATATCAGCCGGATCAGAAAATTTCTCAATCTTGCTACTTCTATCACTGCTCCATGCTTTTGTTTCGTCTAAACTCGATTACTGCAATTCCTTACTGTTCAACCTTCCCACATATTCAATCAAGTGTCTCAAATTAATTTAAAATAATGCTGCCCGTGTCTGTACTTTGATTTCAAGATACTGTCACATTACCCCAGTAATTCGTACTCTGCTTCCTGTCGACAAACGCATTATGTTTAAAATACTATTATTAACTTTTAAAGCAATTCAATTAAGCATCCCTTCGTACCTTGCTGAACTTCTTCCTCGTCAGCGTCCGTCTCGTCACATCCGCCCCTCCTCCCAAAACCTCCTCTCCTTTTCCATCATATAGGCCTAATACTAAAACTTACGGCTTGAGCACCTTTACATTCACTGCTGCTCGTCTCTGGAACAATCTACATTTTTCAGTAAGATCATTTAATTCTATCTCGGCATTTAAATCTTCCATGAAAACTCATTTATTTAACAACTAGTTCTAGCGTACACTGCGCCTTTGATCATTGTTCTTTGGAATTGGCGCATTACTAAATTCGTATTATTATTATTATCATTATTATTATTATTATTATTATTATTATTATTATTATTATTATTATTATTCATTCACTCTTGCTCAAAATAGCACCACTGATAAAATATTTTGTAAGCATATCTATTTTGCAGATTTTTCTATTTGTCTACTTGATAATTAATTCACTTACCAATTTGTCACAGAAATTTTATTTTGTGATCTAAACAGCGGAATGTTTATTTTCTCTGTTCTGATTGGTTAATACCATTTTTATACTACAGTATAATGATATTAGATCTTTATCTTCCAAGTTTGCTCACTTGAACGTTGATAATGATAGCAGGAGCTCTCTATATATCCGTTTTATTAGATTTTAATAAATTTGTGTTCTACAAGTCAACTTTAATGATAGTACGTCGTCTTCTCATTGTTTTTACATTCCCCAAATGGCTGGGGAAATGTTTTTACAAACGTGAATTGACCCAAAAAGTATGTTTAAATATAAAGTGCTTTGGTGAGTTGTTGTTTTTTCTAAACATTGTTGATTGCTTTTTAGGCTTTTTAGGCTGGGTTCAATTCCTGTCAGTGTTGCAGGATTTGTTTCTCACGACCAAAACAACTCCACTCCCTAAATCTCATTGAGATTTAGTTTGTATAAATCATCGTGTGTGACAGTATTATATTCGCTATTGAAAATCCTTGGCACATGTATTGTGTTCCTAAATAAATAATTAAAAAAGAATTAATACAATCATTGTCTTTTTGGTCAATGCAGACAGGTAAAAATCGTGCGATGACTTTGCTAGGCTACGGCTAGACTTGCCACAAGTCTCTTATTTTTTTATTATTTTTCTCATTCTGGACAGCGCCACCAACGAGAAAGTTAATTTAGAGATAGACGGAATAAGCCTAATTCGAAAAAAAAGAAATCGAGTATGGGACGCCAATTAAATTAGGTATGGCGCGCACTAAGTGCAATAAAGAGTGAGTAACCTAAAGTTAGGGCCTGGAACCCAGGCTAGGCTACGGCCTACTCAGTGGCGTAACTAGGTTGTAAGGGGCCCGGGTTCAAGTGTATGTAGGGGCCCTTGACATGCAAATTGACCATGCTCTGATTTGAAGAGCCGGCTATTGGCTAATGACCATAATTAAAACTTCTACTTCTTATGACCAAAAGAAAAGCACATTCGATATTTATTGAATTGATGTTTGTTTATCGGATTAACCAATAATAATATGTAGCTCTTATATACCACTTCGTGGACAATGTCAACAATTATCTTGTACATTAGTTTTATTTTCTTAAGCTAAATAAAATGAAATGGATCACACCTGATGTCTTTAGATTATGTATCACTTATCATGTAAAACACTTATCCGATCCTTTAACAATCGTTTACTTAGAAACAAACGTAGGCATAAAATTAATTTGAAAATCAGATTATTTTTATCAGTTGAAAACAAATATAAACACGATCCCAAACGTTTGTAGGATACAAAAATAATAAACTACTATTCAAACAATATTCATCCAAATCTTAATTGTGAAAATCTTAAAGATCATTCTATTAATATACGAACAGAAATTTCGAACTCAATTAAAGAAGACAAAATAGAATGGAAACCCCAAATTGTATTCATACACTAAATTTTACGACACTTGTATCTGGCGACATTGTAGAAAAGTTGGCATGTTTATCTGAAAATAGTAACATTGATAATTTCGATACTAGCTATAGACCATGGAGGTATAAAATAGATTTTATAGATAAATAGATAAATAAATTTTATATCTCCATCCTATAGGCTAAGACTTGCATAACGCTATATCGTGAAATGTCTGTGTTTCATTATCAATAAATCATTAAAGAATGGTGGTTTCAAACGATTGGAAAATCTCAGTGACTACCCCCATACCACAGGTAAAGCCCTGACAATTATAGATCAATCTTAGTAGCATGCCACACAGCCAAAATTGTTCAAGAGCAAGGGCCAAGATCAAATTATTATACTATCTCGATGAAAACGACAGTAGGCCTATACATGTAGTGTTGAAGGGCCGCGACGTGAACACCCCTTTCTTGGCCCTTGGCTGGAAGAAAGCAAATAGTGAAATTTCACCACTAAACGGCGGAATTTGAATACCACAGGGTGGTGTCTTGAGTTATTCATAAATGATAGGCCTGTCAGGAAAAATTTGGTCCGTGGCCAACATCGGTCCGCCGGACCGATTTTGGCTTTATTACCTGCCAAATGTAGTCCACATAAGCGAAAGTCGGTCCGGCGTCTATTTAGTAGTTATAACTTGTATTGTCATAACATTGTTCATATGTTTTTTTAAATAAAATGATATATATAAATACGGTATCTTATCCTTCATTATATTATACTGTTTTCATTTGTTATGTGTAAAATCATAGGGTGAAATTAAGTAAGCTTCGCGCCGCCCAGTAGGCCTAAACCCTTTGGTGTAAAAGTACGAAAAGAAGCTAAAAATGTGGGCTTAAATCGTGTTTGTCCGCTTTAGTTTATTCGTTTTACCTTTTTTGGTTGTGTGTGGTGTGTGTGCTTAACGCCACGACGAGTACTGTACATGCATTCAATTCGAAGAATCCTTAACCCTTTATTTCATGTATTATAATATCTATTGATCAATATCAATAATCCGGAATATTTAAAACTAATAAATTAGTCTTGTGTGTCATTTTAGGTCCAAACCTAGGCCTAACTACGGCCGCCGTAAATGATGCATGTGTGTGTGTATCGATCGCCTAGACCTAGGAAATGCATTACAGTATCAGGTGGGGTTAATAAAATACGTCCTAAAAATCTTATAAATACTAATGCTGCAAAAGATTTTGCAAATGTGGGAGAAACATAAATTACTTTCCTCCACTCCACGGGAGAAACAATCATAGTCCTACCCTATGAGTAGCAGACGAGTTACAAGTGAAGTGGTCATGCCGACTCCGGACCAATTTATCCAAGCGGGACCGGTTTTAGCGGCTAAAATCAATCCAGAGGACCGATGTTGGCGGCCAAAATCTGTCCGCCGAACATTTTTTGGCCCGGACCAATTTTGGCGTGACGGGCCTATTTCAAAATTTATTTTTTCTGATATTTGCAGTATTTTTGCGGATGATGTTGCTATTTATGTATGATTCGATTTAATTGTGCTTATACAATATACTATAGAGGGCATCAGATAAAAGTATATTTAATTACTAGGCCTACTTTCATCTGATGTCCTGAATATTTATGTTGACGGAAAACAGAACAAGTAAAACATATAACATATTTGGGTTTAGAGATAGAGTACGAAAACTAAACATGAGATTATCATCTGACACATCCGTCTGTTAGCTTTAAGATTCATAACCTAGGAAAATTGCCGAAACATTGCACCAATCTCTGCTTATTACATAAGCACAATCGAACCATGCCAATTTTACATGTATTTTTCACATCCGTGAAAATTATAGGCCTTGAAAAAAGACTATACACGTGCAGCAAGAATTAGGCATAAAAACACAATTTTGATTACAAAAACTGTCCTGTCGAAAACATAATTCGACAAGTAACTTCATGATCAAACAAATACAATATGACGTGTGTGCCCCCACCCCCTGTGCATCTCATTAATGTGACGAAATTGAATTGATTTTTGATCGACATGGATATTCCAAGCTCAAACATAGGCCTACATCTAATTTCGTTCCTTGAGTCTTTAAAATAGGTCTAGAATATTCCTATTAAACGTTTAGTTTGTTTAGTTTATTAGGGTTCATTGATTTAAGGAATTCCTTAATTGTTCATACTTCATTGATTTTGAAATAACTTTCTTCGTGTTCTAACCTTGTTTTACGAACGTAATTTTCAATTAGTAAACAATTCAATTTTAATCGCGGTGCGTGATATATTCGCGGTGACGATAAATTAGGTATTTTTTGCACACGAACCTAAAAAAAATCAAGGCAGGCGTCCACTATTGAAAAATTATTGGACTGTGGGGATAGGCAAATAACATTGGGAGTGGCAGTGATGACGTCACAATTGACTTATAATAATAATAATAATAATAATAATAATTATTATTATTATTATTATTATTATTATTATTATTATTATTAATTATTATTATTATTATTATTATTATTATTAACATTTATTAGTAATATTTTTAATAAGAATAATAATAATTAATATGAATGAGTAAGTAATATGAATGGCATTATTTGATAGGATCGAATTTATGTGACGATCATACCGAGACCGTGGCATACAAATAGATGAATAACATTTTTTGAAAAAAACATGGTGTTATATAAATCATATCAAGTATAGCCATTTAACGAAAAGTTCCCTTTTTTTCAGTTCAGTAGAAAACATTTGTCTCTTGCGGGATTACAATACTAATAGTTTGGCATCAATATTCTTCCAAAACATTACGGTCAAAATGAGTACTTGTGCTGTCAAAAACCAATTGCTTGAAAAGGGCTGTGATGCAAGGAATAAAGGGAATTATCAATTGATAGCAATACCAGAAAAAGTAGCAGGTAAACTTACAAATATTATAAAATGATAGTTGTGCTATTCAGTATTTTCTAATGGCCAAATGTTTAAATGTAAAAAAGGTTTCTACAATGCACATCTGACCCAGAACCATAAGTTGGAAGCAGATGTCTGTTTATTTCATATAAGTGAACACTAGCCTGAAATACATAGTTCATATTGTTATCAAAATTAAATTTGCTTCTAGGTTTTTATGTAAATATTGAATGTGATCATCTACATGTTCAAATACTGTAGACCCTTATCTAATTAGAAACAATAATCTTCGATCATAAATATTTTCTATACATTCTCATAAGCGTTTTACAAATTACAGAACCAGCACCATTGTGTAACGTAGTGAGTGAAAAATATCTGAGTGAATTAAAGGAAATTAGTAAGTGTACATATTAGTTTTTAGTCATTACTGTAGATCAAGTCAGGGGTGGCGCTGGATGTGCCCGACTGGGCGAGGTTCCGTTGTCCCCGACTGGGATGTCGGGCGTCGCTCACAAAATACGAGGGCCCTAAAACTATTAACTTTAAGAAGTTTCAAAGGCGTATTTAATTGATTTTAGAGTCTAATATGTAATACAGTAATAATAATAATAATAATAATAATAATAATAATAATAATAATAATAATAATAATAATAATAGATATTTATTTTATATAAATTTGTAGTCAAATATATAACTTTATTATAATATATTGTGTTAGTAAAAGTAATATTCAAATACTGTAGTTTTGAGTTTTAGCCTAAAATTTCCTCACTTTGAAAGGTTTTTGCTGTGAATATGTTCCTAAACTTTTACATTAATATTTTGATAGTTGATAAGAACAGTGAAGATCATTTAACTAAGACATGTAAATCAGACATAGACGATGCATTCAAGAATGTCCATGACCAAGAAGGTAAGCAATATTTTAATATTTACCTTCAGGGGCGGATCCAGAGATGTCCGAAGGGGGGGTGGGGGCGAAAGAAGGATCGAAAGTGGGGCCAATCGAGATAATACACCCTAGGGGGTCCGTGAAATTTTCGTGTTCCAGCCGCCCGAAAAAAACCTATCTCTGGCGTCTTGGTCGATCATTTTTTTTTCTTTTTATTTCTTTTTTTTTTTACCTTCCAAAGTGGGGGTAGGGTGGCGGATCCGGTCCGCCCCATCCGCCCTGCCCTCCCTAAATCCGCCCCTGATCTTATACCAGTGACGCAAAGTCAAAGAAGAAATGTATGTCTTAATCTTGATGATGGTTTTGCTTTTGTTTGTTTTTTTGTTTTTTTGTTTTTTTTTGTCGAATGCATTGTTATTTTCGACCATTGAATAAATGTTATGTGGAGATGTTTAAGTAGGAAACTAAATTGAATACTAGACCTACTCAACCATAAATACTTTCCTATTTTTATTTTATAGGCTGTAACAATAAAGACCATCTTGCACTCACAATCAATACCCTTGTTGAAACAAGCAAGTATAATGTATCAAATCAATGTAAAACTGCTTTTAAATCGAATCCAAACCGAAATTTGTACCGCGCTTTCAATACGGTGAACGCCAGCGCCCCTATTCTTACCTCACTGATCTGATTTTTGGATCGGTTCGATAGGTTTTCAGAAGCGAAACGGATTCGGTGTGAATGCATCTTAACTTTTTTCTAAACAAAATTATTGTTAGTTAAATTGCATTTAGGTCCGTTTGTATGAAATTCATGCTGTATTAAAATATTTCTAGTTGTAGAATGTACTCATTACTTTCCTGAAGTTGAGAAGAAGAAAATACAAGAGGTTTTCATCAATATGAAGATACAAAAAGGTATATGTGTAAGGAAACCTAAAAACTGTTTTATTGCAACATATCCCTTAAAAAGCTAAACGAATCGTGCATTGGCTTTTCTGACCAAATAGTCTGTACCGTTAATAATAATGGCGTTGGAGATCTTCTATTTTTGAACTGAAAACTCAGATTATATTGTCAAAACATTCGGCAAGCTTATTATTTTCTCTTAATTTGAAATTTGTAATATTTTCCCCTTATGGTTTTAAGACACTAATTGAAAGGCATTGTGTTAAATGTAATTAACACAAATAATTAGTTATGTTAGTAGTTAATTTATTTGTTAGTTATGTTTATTGCGTAAACAACTAAACAACTTTTGTAAAATTGGCAAAATTTGTAAATTATAGTTCAGATTTCCATTTCCCAGCACTATCTCAGCTAAGTGGATCCAAGGTTGTAATGTTGTAATGTAAGCCTTGTAACAGGAGCTGGCCCTAATAAAAGCCATCAATATTCTTGCTTAAAGATTTCATGAATAACGGATCCACATGGAATCCAAGATCTGTCAAAGCAAAAATAAGTCAACGGCAGTTATCTCATCGCAGTTGGATTGCCTAGCCTTGGTTGAAACCAAAATGACCATCCTGTTTAAACCTCGTATAGGCTCTTACGTCAAGTCCTTCTCTTTAACAGCATAGTTGTTTTCATCTAATTTTTTATTGTAGCCTACCCTTTTTAATCCTAGACGAACGTTAGTATATTTGATCTGCACATCATCAGACCAATTTCCTTTGCTCCTAATTGCCTGGATCGCTAACATTAAAATCTAATAAGAATTTTGAACTCCCGGGCCTCCTTGGACTGGATTCATACATGGCAAATTTAAACTACATCAAAGATATACTGCTTTCAAAAAACAAACAAAAAATCAACCAGAAACAAGTCAGAAATTATTGTCATTGATTTACAAATATCGTACTACAAAATCCATTAAACTGATTGTTAGTCAACTTACGTCTTATGTTAAAGGCTACAGGGAAAGTATTTAATTTTCGTCAATTTGCTACCAAAAAAAATATAATATGTTAAGAAAACAATGTGAGATTTCGGAATTATTCCTTTACTATCATTATTGATAGGTCATGAGACATTATAGAAGGCACAATAATTGTTCCATCGATGTAGTTATTATATGGTTGTCTAAATTATTTTATAGAGAGATATAAAACAATGCTTAAACCAGTATCTTCAGAAAATACAACAAAACCAAAAACACAAACTGTGAATGTTTCATCAAATCTAGTGGTAGTTGAAAGTCACAAGGGACAAGATTTACACATTTCAGCGACTGACTGTTATATTATTATAAACTGTAATGGTGAGTACCATACCTAGATGTTTTTTTCACTAACAGTCTTTGTAATGGAGATATTGTGCCCATAAATGTAAATCATCAACAAAAGATTTCACTGTCAACATAGATCAAGCAAGAATTTACAATAACAAGACAATTTAATTTTAAAAGTTTAATACATAATACAATTCAAACCATTTTTTTTTTTATCATAATGGTAATTATGCCATGCAAGACTTGGCTTAGCAATGTAGGCTGGTAGCTATTTTGTAAGTGTTACAAATCAATGAAACCTTTAAGAGTATACTACTAATGGGATCCGTATAACTATTAGGCCTGCATAGCCTATTTTTTCCATGGGCAACATGAAGGGATAAAAGCAGTTAAGACACAGAAAGCCTTAATACATATCTGTAATTTTCAAAGATATGTTAGAGTAGACCTAAGCATTAGCTTACCTAACTTTTAGATTTTATGCTAAGCAAGTAATGTGATGATGCTCTAATTATGATGGTGTTCGAATAATGAACGAAATATCGAATCATTGTGGCTTCTCTTAGTCTTAGTCTTTTTGGTGTCTGCATGATAATTATCAAGTAATTTGTGATTACTTACAAATAACCTGAGATCTGTTTTCTTGGTAAGGTATTCCAGATATTGAAAACAAAACATGTATGTATTTAAAATCCATATACACAAATAGAAACATTTTTATTAAAACAAATCATGGTCTAACAAATTATATTAAATGCACTAATGGATTAAAACAAGGTTGTCTTTTTATCCCCGATTCTTTTTATTCCCTTTCTAAATGACTTAAAGTAAACTTTGCTGAAGGAAGATTTACATTTCTGTTCAATAAATAACCAAACTATCTCACATTTATTATATGCAGATGATTTATTTTTATTTTCTTTCTCAAAAATAGGACTACAAAAACAATTAAACTGTCTACATAAATATTGCATAAAAATAAATAAACTAATAACAAAGATCATGGTATTTACAAAAGATGGGGTTTTAGATAAAGGCGAAAATGGACGAAATTGAATTAGTTAAGGAATATAAATATCTGGGATTTCGTTTCAATAATAGGGGTACATGGAAAACGATGGGTGAACATCAAGGAGAGAAAGGGAAAGGGGCTATGTTTAACGTTAGAAGGAAATTTTTCATTTTGGGATTTACATCTGCAAAGATACAACAGTCAAATTATTCCAATTCTATTATATGGCAGTGAAATATGGGGATATAACAATATGGATAACATAGACAATATCCGAATGAAACAATGTAAATTTGTCCTAATTGTCCACCAGTCATGTCCAAACGAAGGTGCTAGAAATGAGCTAGGAATGTTCCCAACTAAAGATTATCAGTTAATAAGAACGTTAAATTATTGGATAAAAATTAATAATATGGAGGATAATAGATTAAACAAAATTTGTTATCAAAAGCAAGAATCGAGAGCTGAGAATAGTATTGACTGTTGGGCATTTGGGATTAAGACAATTTTAGAAAATTTGGGGTTGGGATACATGCAGAACTCTCCTGTAAACGAAACATTTTCAAATATATTTTCTCAAAGAATATACGATATTGCTATACAAAGAGGTAAAGCATTACGGTAATTTGTAAAAACGTCAGATTACAATTTTATAATACAATTAACTCAGAAAACTTTCCAAATAAATACATTTTTGATTTAAATATTAGGCCTAAGTATAGAACATTTATTTCACAATTGCTTCTGTCAAATCATAATTTGTTAATAGAAAGAGGTCATTATTTAAATGTTAGTAGAGCGAGAAAACAGAATTTGTTTATTTTGTGATAACTTTAACTTAGAAGATGAATACCATTTTCTTTTTGTATGCCCCTTTTATAAAATTAGAGAAGAAGAGAATACCAAATTCAAACTTATATTTACTTAGAAAATTTGTTGTATATTATGATAAACAAAGGATTGTAAGTCTTGCTATCTACTTAAAAAAAGCATTCAAGAAAGGAAATTTATGTTTGTCTGAAACGGTATAAATTTAAAATGTGAAATGGGTCAGAGGCCATTATTTACTTGAATAAAATTAATGAAATGAAAATGAGTCGAAAGTACTCGCTAGTTTTCAAATACATTTTGTGGCATATATCTGATACCGTTTGACTCGTTATTTACTATATACTGCCTATGCAGCACCACCATCACTTATATATATATAATACATCATGTCCTTTATTCAAACACTGCATTTACCTTTTATTTATGATTTATGAGTTAATTGTTTTTAAGTAGGACCTAACTCATTTGCATTTTCACCTGTCTTAGCATTCATATACTCGCACAACCTTGTATTCTCTCACTCCTGAAGATTGCATTAGCATGAAACGCCTTTCTTTTATGATATATATATATATATATATATATATATATATATATCAATGGTTTATGAAGATAATGAAAAAGTATTATAATGAATACTTTTTTATTATCTTTCTTCATGAATTATTTTTCAGTAATAATGGCTAACATCTTGCGACATTTTGACTACATGATTATGGGTAGCTTGTGTTTATTTTGTAACAGATATTAAAGTTAACATGCTGGATTCTGAACCATGGAAGAATGATGTGAATGAATTATTTAACAAAAAGAGAGGAACTGTCAGAAGGAAAAGTATAGGGAGCATTAAATTATTGGTGACATTCCAGTCTAAAGAAGCACTAGAGAAATTCCAAGATGAATACAAAAAAGGAATTACAGAAAAAGAAATTCATGAAATCCTACTGAAGCATAAGCTAATTGAACAAGAATCTCGGATAGATGTCATCATTAACACAGGTAATATTCAATCACAATTTTGTTTGAGTTTTCTCTAATTACCAGATATGATACTGAAAATACAACAATGCATTTTATAACTAAAACGCGGAAAATGTATAAGTGTCAATATTTTTGTTCAGATGTTTTGGAGATGATTTAAAAAAAAATAAAGTAAAATAAAAATTCTATAAAAATGTATATAGTAAACTGATTTGTTTTCTAATTAGTGTGAACTAGTGTGTTTTTGCTGCCATATGTATTATTTTCGACTATGCTAAATGATGATATAAAGCTCTCCATAAAATCGTTCACCCTATCATCGACAGTCGCCGACAGTTGTAGGGAAGGTTGAACCTGGTTAAACTCTCCCGATTGCGTCAGGGCAGCAGGGGTGGCGCCAGCGGGGGGAGGGGCGAGGGGGCCCCGTCGGGAAGAGGTGCTCCCTACAGTCGGGGAGAAAAAGAAAACACAAATCGTCAGGGAGAAAACAAATTATATGTATTTTCTACATATTAGTAGACTCTAAAATCGGTTAAGTAAGCCTTTTAAATCCCTAAATTGTCAAAATTGTCGGGCTTTCGCCCCCCTGCACCACTTTCGGAACATTTAAAGCGACGCTTGACCACGCCCATTTTGCTCTGATCGGGGAAATCTTTCCCCTCGCCGAGGGCGTTCCCCCGTCGGGCACCTCGGACCCCGTTCGGCAATTCCTGGCGCCACCCCTGCAGCTAGCAATGCACCCTGATTCGTCTGCAGCGCAATCGGCAAAGTTGAACCGGATTCAACCTGCCCGACGACTGTCGATAGGGTAAGCGATTCCATGGAAACCGAGCTTTTAGATGTATCCGCCATAACCGTCATGAATATGTCCACATTAGCTCCAATATTTATTTTACATTTTTGCCTAATTACAGTTTTAATTATCAATTTCTTATGTAGCCTGGATTAATATTTCATTGGAAGAGTTTGAGACGATAGATAAGGAAATAATAGATCTAGTTCCATTCATGGTGGCAGCATACAATTGTGAAAACATGGAACAACTGGACTCTAATCTAGCTTCTATACTTGAGAAAAGAATCACTTATTTGCAATCTAGATTTTATCTAACTCAACATACTGGTAATATATATATTATGTTATTTTACTTTAGCTCTGTCCACACTATAACATTTTATGGGACAAATTTGTGTAATGCGCCAATATATGGTGTATGATGGTATCATATTACAAACTCTCGCACTCTTGCGCTTGCGTAGTTGGAGCTCTGAAGATTTTATTTATAAATAAATCACAATTATAGAGACTGTAATCGTCTTGTGGTATAATTTATATAAATTTTAAAGGTTAAAAAGGAATTCGAGTGTGAAAAATAGGTACCCAACAGGGATCTGAGCCCGGGACATTCTGCTGCCCATGCTGTGTTTAAAACAACTTGGCCGTTAACGATTGTTGGGAATTCAATTCCGATTAAAGAATCTAATTCTTCACATTCATGCACATACGTAGTTGGACAGCTATTATACTCGATGCATGGCAAATAACAGAGATCAACATGATACACCATTGGATTAGATTTATTCGATGTAATACCAAGGATAGCCCACGAAAGTCTGGAAGAAGTCTTATTTCCAGTGGGGTCCTTCTGGTGGTGATTGGTCAGTACACTGGGCAACAATCCCCATACTCTTTTTCGAAGAGTGTACTTCGTTCTTTAACGTGCACATGAGCCATTAATACACACGGGACCAACGGCTTAAACGTCTCATCCGAAAGACGGTGCGCTATTGCAACTTGTATCTCAGCCCTCCAACTGAAACCCAAGGAAAGGCAGCAATGGGAATTTAACCGGGGACCTAGACATCTCCATGGTTCAGCGCACACACAATGGCTACCACCAGGTTAGCCGACTAAGCTAAGCTGCTCCTTATAAATGTAATTGTAATATAGGCCTATGTAATATAAAAAATAAAGGTGCTCTACCATATATTATGTGT